CACTCACCTATCACCATCCCAGCTACCTTCCCCAGCCCCACCCCTCCACTCTATTTATTTCTGAACTCCCTTCCCCCTCCCCTATTTCTGAAGAAGGTCCTGACCCAAAACATCAACTTTCCTGCTCCTCTGATGCTGCCTGGCCTGCTGTGTGCCTATAGCTCCACACCGTGTTATCTCTGACTCCAGCATCTGCGGTTCTTGCTATCTCAGGGGAGCCTAGGACCAGTGGACACTGTCTCAGGATATGGAGTCGACCATATAGGACTTAGATGAAGAAACGTTCTTCACTCAAAGGGTATTGAACCTTTGGAATTCTCTACCACAGTAGGTTGTGGAGGCCAAGTCCCTGAATTGTGCTGTTGCATAGCAACTGGAGTCCAATGACATACAGAAAGGTCAAATCATCCAGAAGGTCCATTAGGCAGCACGGTGTATGCCACAGCATGAAGGACAGCTAGACACAGGGTTCAATAAACTCATGAGAGTTGTTTTTAAGTTAAAGTTAATGTGAGTTTATTTTACAGTTTGTTTTAGGTGTCTCAGAGAGAGAAATTGCCCGAAGTCAAAAAGCATCTAGCAACTGCACAGAAATTCACTGAAAGGAAACATGTGGCAGCTGTACTAATGCAAGTTTGAGCCAGAAGCCTTAGTAGTGCGATATTCACTGAGATTTAGTTGTTTGCAATGATATTGCTGAGATAAAAGGAATAGTGTGAATTTGAATCCTTTTCTGATGATGTAATAACATCTTTCCAATCTTTTGTTTTGACTAGTGTAATATATTTCATTTTATTCCTATAGTGTTAAAAGTACACGGGCAGCATTTTACGTTCTGTAACCGATCTCCATAGTTTAAAAAAAGCCAAGTTAGAATCCAACAAGTCAAGGTTTTATTCTGAGGTCTGACTTGTGTGGCACTACTATTAGCTGGGATCACAAAATATTCTTGTGGCCATAACATGAAACTATTGTAAACTGAAGCAAGAATTTTACAGATCCTTACAGACGTAGGTCAGTAGTTCTTGAAACTGTGTGCCATGGCAGTAGCATCATCCCTGCCACATGCTCACCTGTGCAAGTCTCTCACACCCGGAGACAAACGGAAGTTCATAAATTAAAAACAAAATCATCCATAAATCTAGCCTTCGTTCTGAAGAAGGGTCACCAAACCCAAAATGTTAACTCTGATTTCTCTCCACAGGTGCTGAGACCTGCTACATTTTTCTAGCAATTTCTGTTTTTGATTCATTCTGGGACCTGACTTGTCCAATTGTATTGTCATGTAGAATCATAATAAGTTACAAGAACACTCTCTCCTTTCCACTTAAACACATAAGGCACGTAGTTAATAAAATGTGCTGTTCAGCAGCATTAGAACAGACTTGCCTTTCTCTACCACCTCTCTGGTATGATCTCTAAATAGCAGCATCAGTAACAGACACCTTGCTCAGTTAAACTTTCCTGTCATTCAACCTGATGGCAGGAACATTCAAAGCAGTCAGCAGCAAAAGATAAATCCTCAGGAAAGACACAAAATCAGAAGCAGCAATCCCACTCATTGCCCCAATGGAAAATGAGCTCTGAAATTGATCAGCTGGACAGTCACTGCCCAACAGAAAATCTGCAGCAACAGAATGCCTCCAAGTTACCCAGTCCAGACCTCAGACTGTGGTGAATAGCCACAAACAGACAGCAGTAACAGTTTCAATGCAGATATAACTCTCAAAACTGTAAAATGTCCTTTCTTTACATCAAGGTGTGGTACATGCATTGGGATGAGCAACATAAAATTGCATGGAAAAACTCACTGAAGCTCTGCATGAAACTAAGTGAAATTGACAAAATTCAACACTCGAGTTATTTTCAGACAGAACACAGTAATTTGATTACTTTTGCTAAGAACGGCTCTCAATTAATTCACTTAAAATACATCTAAAGTGTCAAGATATGATTTCCCACCAATGTTCTTGAAGGTGAACCTTAATGATCAATGGAAAAATGAAGTAGATATATGAACAAACATGTGTATATGTGCAGATATGTGAAAGAGGAACAGGGTTGTAGTTGCAGGGGATTTCAATTTAACTGGACTTGCCTTCGTGTGACATGATTATACGGGGTGGAATATTTAAACTGCATCCAGGAAAGCTCTTTGTGCCAGTACATAGATAGACCTATTAGATATGGGTCAGTATGAGACCTAATCCTAGGGAATGAAACCAGTCAAGTGGTTGAAGTGTGTGAGCACTTTTTGGGATAGTGACCACAGCTCCATAAATTTCAAAGTCATTATGAAAAGGGATAAGGATAGAGCAGAAGTGAAGTGTCTAAACTGGGAGAAGGCCAGTTTCAATATCATCAGACAGGATCTAGTATTCATAGATTGGGTGTAGCTACCTGCAGGTAAGGCAACATTTGGAATGTGGGAGTCTTTTAAAAGTAGTATACTGACAATTCAGGGTCAGGATGTTTCTGTAAGAGTGAAGGGCAAGGGCAGCAAGTCCCTGGATGTTGAGGGATATCGAGAAAGAAAAAGAAGAAAGCATATGCTAGGGTCAGAGCATCACAACAGGAAAGGCCGTTTCGGGAGTACATAGTGTGTAGTGGGGTGCTTAATAGGGAAATTAGGAGTGCAAAGAAGGGCCATGAAATATAATATGATAAAGGAAAACTCCAAAGCATTTTATAAGTCCATTAGGAGCAAGGGGATTTCAAGGGAGAGAGTGGGCCTATTAGAAACCAAAGGGGTAATCTGTGCTTGGAGCGAGAGAACACGAGTGAGGTCTTAAGTTAATATTTTTCATCCGTACTCACAGAGAAAGACATTGTAACTGGGGCTTTCAGTTGGGTTGGTAGGTTCAAGAGCATGTAAGAATTAAGAAAGAGGAGGTAATAGATGTTTTAGTAGGCATAAAGGTGCATAAAGCCCCAGGATATGATGAAATGTATCCCAGGCTGCAAAAAGAGGCAAGGGAGGAGATTGTGGGGCCCTGGAAGAGCTACTTAATACTTCACTGGCCACAGGTGAAGTGCCAGATAACTGGAGGATAGCTAATGTGGTTCCTTTGTTCAAGATAGGCTGTAGGGATAGGCCAAGTAATTACAGACCAGTTGGTCTGACAACAATGGTAGGGAAATTATTGAAAAAAATTCTAAGGATAGGACTAATCAACACATAAAAAGGCAGAGGTTGAACAGGGATAGTCAGCACAGATTTGTTGGAAGGTCATCCTATCTAATTTAATTGAGTGTTTTGAGAATGTGACTGCATATATTGATGAGGGTAGTGCAGTTGATGTGGTTAACATGGACTTCAGTGAGGCATTTGACAAGA